GTACTTCACCATCTGTAGCCATGAGAACTCTCTTAAAAATAGATCACATTTTGACCATAAAAGTCATAACAATATTAAAGGATTAAAATAATTCTTTCCTTATCAGACTAGAAACCATTAGGATGACAAATAAGAAAAGAAACCATATGAATCTCTTGAGACTAAAAAATAAACTCTTGAATGACTGATGTGTGATAGAATAATTCAGGAAGGAAATTGTTTAAATTCCTAAAATCAAATAGAAACAAATATGGATACAACAAAGGCAATGTTTTTTCTTAGCTTTTGTTTTAATAGAAATAATTATTTTTACAGAATATATTTTGATCAGGTTCCCTCTTCCTTTATATACTCCCAGATACTCCTCACCTCTTCACCCTTCCAATTCTATGACTTCTTTCTCTCTCTCTTTAGAAATGAAGGAAGCAAACAAAAACAAACCAGAATAAACCAAATAAACAAATAGAAAAAAGGGGAAAAATACTAGAATTGCATGTGCATATAGAGACACTAACATTTGCACAAACGCAGAACTCATAAACAAAAAATTGGAAACCATAATGTATAAGCAAAAGACCACTGAGGTTTAAAAAAAATCCTGACTACAGCATTGTGAGACAAAAAATTTCCAAAAATACCATTGATTTCGTTGATAGTTATCTAGTGCTTGGCATGCAGCCTGCCCTTAAGTGTGGCTTGTATATACAGTGATACTCCATTGGAGAAAACCAATCTTTCTTTTGCTGGCAGTTGATGCTTGGAGATGGATCCTGGGAAAAGAATGGGGACTTGGCCTGTAAGATCCAAAGTGTCCCCCCAAAGGGGAGTGCTGGTGACAATATTCTGAACAGGAGGACAATGAACAGGTAGAAGAATTCTTATGGGGTGAACATAATCTTATATCCAGCATTCCTTGGGAATCAGATAAAGCACATTTCTGTTTACCAGACACCTCATTTAATCAGTTCTCAAAAGTCAGCTACCTCAAGGTAAGGGCATCTAGTTCCTGGCCAATCTACACCCACACACTTTCATATTTCTTTCTTGCTTCACAAGATCTATATTCTGCTGTCCCTTGAGTTTGCAGATTGCAGGGACTACTACACTCTAAAGCAGTCAGTCCTCACACTTTATCATAACAACAATTATTTTCTGCCATGGACAATGTTTAATGCAGTGCATCACAACTGATCAGAGTTCAGAGAACAAGTGTCAGCATATTGATCAATCAACAATGAGATATCTATGTCACACCCCTCCCAAGACACATGCAGAGGAGGTTGTGAAATCATTCTAAGTGTCAGAGGTGAGGCAGGACCAAAGCAAAAGAAGACTAGTTCATTCATAAAAATCACAGCAGCTGTGGTTGCCTACAAACTGAATACATATGAACAATTGATGGCTTCTGGTATAAGAGACTCAGTTTTCTATAAGTATGTGGTCACTCCTAGGCTGGCATTGCTCCAGAGGAGGTCTCCACATTCAGGTGTTTTGGGGCAGCATAGATGGAACTTGATTGTTTATAAGACAAAACCAAGAAGAGGACTTGAACCCAGAAGAAGACAAGGAAGTGTATCTTACAGGTCTTATTAGGAAGAAAAGGTTTGAATATCATCAATATACAGGACATTATGTTAGAAAAGTAATGAACTAATAAATATTTTATTAAAACATTGAAAATGAAGCACATTAAAGAAATAGATTACCATGGTTGTTGGTATGATTTCATAGATATTAGAATGGTTGAGTAATTACTGATCAGTAAATGCAATAAAGGATATTAATAGACTTAGGGACAGGAATGTGATAACCATCTCCATTGGTGCCAAAATGACATACAGAAAATCAAACATCATTTATGATTAAAGGCCTAAAGAAACTAGGACTAGAAAAGATACAACAAACATGACCTAAATGGAGTGAAAATTAAATTACTTCCTTTATAATTGGTACCAAGACAAGGGTGTCACTTTCTGCATTCTTAAAATCTTAGCTAGAGCACTGTCAGAGAAAGACAAAATAGGAATGCAGTTAGAAAAGGAAGAAGACAAATTATCTGTGTTTGCAAATAAAAATTCCTAAATGTGAAATGCCCTAAAATTCTACCAGACAAGAAAAAAAACAAAAAACAAACAAACAAAACACTTAGATACAATATTCAGCTAAATGGCAGGCTACAAAATCAATATTTCAAGTTCAGTAGCATTTTTGTAAGTGAAACAAAGTACAAAAGAAAAAAGTCCCATTCATGGTAGCATTTAAATTAAAAGAAAGCCTTGTAATAAACAGGAGCAAGGAAGTAAAAGAGTTCCACAATGAAAACTGTATAAAACTGAAGAAAGAAATTTGAAAAAACAAAAGATGGGTAGACCACCCATTCTCACACATAGAATGATTTAATGTTGTAAAAACAACTCAACTGTATTACAGAAAGCAATCTCCAAATTCAATTCAATCCTTATCAAATATAATAAAATATGAATTTTTACTGAAATAGAAAAATGTACATGGTATTTAAAAGAACACACACCAGCAAAATAATAAAATATAAAAAGGACATTGTCAAAAGCATCAAAATATCTACTAAAATTGTATTTCAGAACAAAATTATTATATTAAATTGCAAAGACTGCTGCATACAGCCAAAAATAGATGTGTACACCAGAAAATTAGACTTCAGGACCCAGAGATAAACCTACACAGATACAGCCATGAGGTCTTTGGTGAAAGTGTCACTAACACACATTGAATAAAAGTGCGCCCCTTCAGTAAATGGTGCTGAGAGTGTTGGATATCCTCATAGACAAGAAACAACTAGATCCATTCAAAATCAGCTCAAATGAGTGAGAGTCCCAAATCTAAGTCTAACAACTACTCCAGATCATCAAGGAGAAAAGACTTCAGGGTATAGGAAGCTGCAAGGACTTTTCAAAATGATCTTCATTTTTGGGAAAAAGAATTGTGGAGATTTATGACCTTGAAGAATGCATACTCAAAAAGGTAAGAGTCAGTAAAGAGACAGCTTATAGGATGAGGGAAAACTTTGCAGAACTACACATTTGTTAGTGAATTAATCACTACAAGATAAAAAGAAATAAAAATCACCATAAAAAATCATGCAATTAATAAAAGGAAAAATGAAAAAAAGCCAGAACTTAAAAGAGATATGACTAGCAATATAAAAGAAATACTTATGTTGTAGCCATCAGGAAAATGGAAATTAAATTTATTGAAATTCTAGCACATCGAAGTAAGTCATCAAGGCCAGTGTCAGGAGAAACAATGATAACTAGTTGTTGAGGATTTTGGAAAAAGGAAACTCAAAGCTAAAAGGAGAATTATATTAGGATTCAGCTATACCATTTTCAGGTCTACAGCCAAAGTCTCAAAGTCAGCATCCAACAGAGACCCCTACAGACTGGTATGTGTCACTGCATTGCTGATAACAGCCCCCATGTAGAACCAACCTAGATAACCATCACATGCTGACATGGAAAATGTGGTGTGCATGATCAATGGAATTGTATTGAGTCCTAAGGAAAAGTTAAGTCATTTGCAGTTGAATATATGAACCCAGCTGTAACATGATGTTAAAATCATTAGACACAGAAGGAAAAGTATTGCCCATTTTCTATCATTTATGGAGTTTAGATCAAAATACCTGTGCACATGCATAAATGTTTAATGTGGATTATACTCTTCTGAACTAAAATCTTCTATCAGTTCAATGGTGCTCTCTATTACATATAATTAATTTTATTGAAATTATGTTCAACTGCTTTTTCATTTATATGTATCATATATAGGAGGGTTATTCTGTTTTATATGTTGTTCAAAGAGCAAGTGACAATATCAAAACAATATTCAATATGTACACTAATATTTGTGGCATACATCCCTAAGTATTTTTGCATAATAACTGAACTTTACATTTAAATTAAAGAATTTTATTGTGTTTATACTACATCTATCACTGGGATTTAAATATTAATGGACATTTTCAAAAAATTTACATGTGTATATAAACTTAGAGCAGGAGGTGGACAGGGTGAATGAGTGCATTTGGAGGGCCACTCGAGTGTTAAGTGACAGTGGGACAATGATGACAAAGTCTGTTTCCTACAATGACAGAGGACAGCGTTAGAGACCTCAGGAGACCACAGTTCAATGAAACCACTGTCTTAGTTCCACTGCAGAGACTTGATTTGAAAAACAAATCACAGAGTATGGAGAGGCACATGCAAAGATGGCCACACATCCACTCTTAGATACTGGTTTCATCAGTGTCAAGATTTCAGCATCCACCAGCAGAAGGGAAGAAATGAGACCATTGTCATTGGTCAGCTGTACAGAATTTCCCACATTATTAGAAACTAAGTTCCTGTAGTTCTAGGTCAAGTTTTGTCTGACAAAGAGTAACAAAAAAAATGAAGTTGAAGAAAAGAGACTCACTGATGTGCTGATTGTCCTTGTTCAATATATTGAATCTTCACCCTTCTAAAGAGTGTCTAATAGTGAACATTCACCTTCAACCTTCTTGACACTGGATTTGTCCTCAGGCTTTATTATTGTGAGGAGTGACTGTCATTTCTTAATTCTTACATCAGGTTACTATTAAAAAGATCACCTTAGTTCTTACATATATGGTAGAAGAGTTGGTACAAAGTCATAGGAAACACATCCATGTCTAGGAGGGGACAAGAGCTCTGAGTGCCACTCTCTGTTTGCAGGAAAAGATGACTAAGGGAGGGGATGAGAATGGTGCTGAGAAGATGAGCAAGAGTCTGATCAGGACTAGTTGGCAAGACTTCTTTATTTGTAATGAAGAGGTAAAGGGACATTGTCATCTGGTGAGTGGAATGCAGAACCTTTCACAGGAGATTTCAGTATCTCCGAGGGCAGGCCAAGGAGGGATTCAGGAAGAGAGAGAGCAGCTGCATGGGCATTCTGCTGAGCATGGCTTCCTCCTGCAACACTTGTCTGAAGTCTACCTCACCAGGTCAGCAACATCCACCAGACTGTTGGCTACTGCCACAGCTGCTGCCACCACTGCTGCCACAGCATCCACTGCTGCCGCCACTGCTGCCACAGCATCCACTGCTGCCACCACTGCCACAGTATCCAGAACTCTGGTGTCTGTGGCGGAGAGATCTGCGGGGCCTGTGGTGGCTCAGGCAGCAGCCACCACCCCCAGAGCTGCAGCAGCCCCCAGAGCTGGAGCCACAGCCTCCCCCAGAACTGGAACCACAGCAGCCCCCAGAACCCAGGCTACAGCAGGAAGACACAGGGGGGCACTTGGGAGGACACTTGGGAGAACACTTTGGTGTCTGGCACTTGGGAGGGCACTTGGGGGCACACTTGGGAGGGGGCTGGCACTGCTGCTGGCTCTGCTGGCAGGACATCTTGGCCTGTGGGTGTTCAGAAGCTGCAAGACAATCACACACATGTCAGAATCACTCATGTCAAAACATCATTCATAGTCCTCTCCTTTGTAACATACTCATGCTGTCACAGTGTGTTCTTCATGAATTCAGAACCTCAGAAACCCATGCAAGTGAGACAGTAATTATCACCTGGTATCCAGCAGCACTGAACGAATATCTAGTGACACTGTAATATTTCTTCTGGTTCTAGTCCTTGTACATATGCCAGTACATTGATTGTTTAAGAGAAAAGTGATTATAAAAGGACAGAGTATTCATGGCTTGAAGCTGTCTTTAGTTCAAGGTCAGTATTCCAAAGCACCTTCTATGTCACTGAGGGAGTAAGCTGAGCCCCTGACAGAAAAATATGTAAACCCTCTCAAGGTTGCCTTGTAACACTAGGGCCTGTTGTGAGTTCAGAGTTCAGAGGTATTCCAATCATCACCTGCTCAGTCTAAGGGTGACAAGATCAGTATCAGCCTAGTGGTGTCCTGTTCATCAGAGAGGTGTGTGAACAGATCTCAGAACCAGGGCTTTCTACTTTCCCAAGTCAAAGTGACAGCCTGCTGCCCTTTCCAGACTGGAAGTCTTCTTAGGAAATGAAGGCAAGCATTTTCTTCAAAGGCCATCTCTCCCTGAAACCTGCCCAAATGAACATAGTTCTCTGTTCTTAGTGTCCTGTCCTGAGGGTTCCTATACACTGGAGGACATTGTTCTCTCCAGAATTCCCCAAACATTCCAATGTCTCTAGAACTGTAACTTGTATGTTTTGATATCGCCATTGCCTTACCCCTCACTCTTCACCACATTCAATTATCTAATTATATGTCCTCTAGTTTGAGAGTCCCTTCCCAGTCCCCTCTCCAATGCTAGAATGGAAACCTCTCTCAAAAAGTCTCTGCCCTTGCCTCCCATGCACACCCAAGATGATAGGCAGCTCACGATCTGTGGGTGTCTCAGGAGGTGAATAGATGGAGGTGCCCTGTGCCTTGACTCTTTTGTTCTGATCCTGGCCTCTGCTTCAGCCTGTCAGACAGTGTCTGGACAGGGGAAGCCCTGCCTCCTGACACCCACATGGTCATGTGACAAGTGATGACCAGGTGTTCCTCACCAACCTTCCTTCATGAGGCCATGCATACTGCATATATCTTAGACCATAGCTTATGCATGAAGGGAGGAAGTGGATTCCTGGATCCTTAACCCTGGCATACCTGCAGAGTACCTGAACGGGAGCCAGTCACTTCCCCATTTTTTATTTTCTGTACTTTATCAATGTAATATGTGAAGCATATAGACCATATCAAGGTAGTAAAATTTGAAGTTTCTTCCAAACCTTCTTCCCTCTCTGCACTTTCCCAACTGTGCCTTTGTAAGGCCAGTTTAAACATCTATACCCGTAAAACTCTACAGACTGGATCCCAGACAGCACCAAGATTTGTTGAGGTGTGGTTCTGAAGGTATGTTTAGGCTGTGTAATTTCTCATTTTAACTAAGGCAGTACAATATTAAGGATAATGCAAGACTGTCATGAAAATGAATGAAACATCAAATGATTATGTAGACTGTTCACAAAAGACACATGCAAACTTCTAAATACAAGGTGAAGATACACTCTTTGAACAAGTGAGAGCTGGATCATCCTTGAAGAATGCATACTGCTCTTGTAGAGGATCTGAGTTTGGTTCCTAGGAACTAAGTGGGGCATCTCACAACCACCTGTAACTCCAGCTACAGGGCATCTAACACCGTCTTCTTACCTCCAAAGGTACATGCAGTTATGTACACATGCACACAGAGACACACGCAGAGAGATACACAAGACATAAAGACAAACACAGACACACAGACACACAATTTAAAATAAAAATATCATCTTTATACATATCAATTTGAAAGAAATAAAGAGGTTCAATAAATAATATTAATGAAATGAAAATGTCCCAAGAAAGCCCAATATTGGTCAAATTTATATGCATTAATAATAATAAGAGGTGATTATGTCCAGAGAGAGTGGACATCCTTATTTTATCATTTCTTCACATTTGTCTCAGTACATAGTTTGATATCTTGCATTTCATGAATTTACATGTAATCCTCATTTAAGAATATACTAACTTTTCTTTACTATTTCAATATTTCTGGATACTCTGTAGAGCCAGCACATCTCTTTCATAAAAACTGAGGTCAGATGGCACATTAGTAAGAAGAAAATCAGGAAAAAGTTTCACCTGACATTGAGGGAATGATATTGTTCACCTATAAGAAATAAATAATAGAGTCAGTCTACTCCTGCTTGTGAGACAAAGGGATAATGGTCTATATCCCTGACTGAAGAAGACAGTTTATTTAAAAAAGAATCTCCTTAGTAATTCAGAAGAATGTGTTTCTGTGGTCATTAGATCTCTGTTCTCTCTGTGTGCCTGGTTTTCATTTATATTCTACATGTCCATAGGCTTTATATAAACATTATTTAGAACTTTTTTCTTTTCAAGATTTAGGAGAAATAGCTGTGATTGATCAAGAAGGATATGGTTGTAAAGAGTTGTGATTTAAGATTACACTAAATCTGAAAAAAAAGTCAATGAGAATAGGCTAAGAAATATACAAACTAAATTGACAAAAAATCTCTTCTCTTTAAATGCTGGTGGACTCTGGAATTTCTAAATCTCAGGAATAATATGAGATTGGGACACAGGAGCATGGTGAGCACAAAAAACACATGGTAAAAAAACATGGGTACTTATAAATGTATAAAGAGTCCAGTATAGAGAGATGTATACCTATCTGTCTTCTGTCATTTATTTTCCTCTATTATCTGTCTCCAAGTCTTCTTCAACATACATCTAATATTTAACATTTCCATTGATCATCCATTTAGTATGTTGCAGCATAAGACCCATAGAAGACCGCAACACTCCCAATGATAACTACTCCAAATCTATTTGCAAAGACTTAATCAGAGCTATGTACCACTTAACAGAAGTAGAAACTCTTATGACACACAGCCTTTTATGCTACATTGTCTGAAGCATTTCCCATCTGCTCTCAATTTTTTTCTTAGATGAATGATGCTATTTTCTTTCCGTTGGTTATGATTTTCACTAAATTATATGTTACAAACATTAGCTGCTATGATAATGCAGCTGAGGTCCACATTACTTTTCTATTAATCCATGATGTTTAATATAGTTATGAGGAATTCCTTAACAACCTTTCTTAGGATTTGTATTTTTCTTCAGTAGTTGAGCACAATCATCCTGTAGCTATTTGGTGATGCCTAAGCCTTTCACTGGAATCTTAAATGATATGTAGGCTTAGAAATAGATACTCAAAGGACTTGTCTCATCCCAGTGGAACCTGAACTCTGAGGCACACTGAGGTGTGTCCACGTGACCTTGAAAAATCTTTCACTGTCTCACATGCTTTGATTTTAGTCTCCTCCTCAGTTGTTCCAAAAGTTTTAGCAACAGGGAGAGGTCAGAACCTGATCCCTGATTTCCACAATGGTAGTTATGCATGGCTCAGCTTAGGACTTCTAGGATGATGTGGGTGTGATGCCAGCTCCTCCACACTTCTACCCCTCTGCATGGCAACAACCAGATCCTCAGCTGACCTCTTGTACATAGAGAGGTGTGCATGAGTAGCATGCTATCTAGTAGAAGAATAGGGTCAGCCTAAAGGAGACTGAGGCTGCAAGACTATATGAATATTTTGGCTGTTGACATTCTGAGGGTTTCGTTTGTCAGATTTTTTTATAAGGCAGTATAAGAAAATACTGAAAATTCTAATCAGAAGTAATTCAAATAAAAAAATGTTCTTTTCTCTGCACGTCATATGCTGAATCATGAGAATTCAATGTTGTTTTTTGAGATGTTCATTCTTGTCCACCTGTTTAACAACTGCACATGATGCATCAATTGTCTCAAAGTATAATGTCCACAAGTCACTTAATTTTTATTAACATATATTTAAATAGTACTATTTGATTATTGCTAGTGGTATATTTTTAATATATAGATGGCACGTAGTAAAAACATTCATTATTTTAAAGTAATTTTTGAAGAATTCCTCAAAAACTGATAAAACATATTACACAAATAATAATAATGCTTATTGCATCTCTCTCTGTCTCTCTCTCTTTTGCTATGTGTGTATGTATACGTGTGTGTATGTGTGTGTGTGTGTGTGTGTGTGTGTGTGTGTGTGTGTGTGTGCTTTTATGTGTAATCCAGGTATCAAACGTGAGTGGTTCCTTCAATATTCTACTTTTATCAATGGATAGGTCATGAAAACTCAAAAATAAACAATGAAACGTCAAAGTAAAACTTCACCATGGGTTAAGTGATTCAATACACATGGACAAAACTGCAGAAAAACCAGAAGCAAAGTGTACTTTATTCTCTGTAGCCATGAAAACCCTCTAAAAAATAGATCACATTTTGACCATAAAAATCGTAACAAATATGAAAACATTAAAATAATATTTCCTTATCAGACCAGAAATCAATAGTAATGAAAAAATAAGAAGCCGTATAAATAGAATTGAGACTAAACAATAAACTCTGAATGACTGATGTATCATGGAATAAATCAGGGAGGAAATTTGTTAAATTTCTTAAATTAAATATGTATACAACAAAGGTAATGTTTTTTCTTCACTTTCATTTTAATTGAGAATAATTTTTTCATAGAATATGTTCTGATCAGGTTCCCTCCTCCTTCATATATTCCCAGATACTCCCACCTCCTCACCCTTCCAATTCTGTGACTTCTTTCACTCTCTCTTTAGAAAGGAAATAGGCAAATAAAAAACAAACAAATGAGAATAAAATAAAATAAAAAATAGGAAAAAAAGAAAAACATATGTTGAGACTGGTTCACTCATAAATCGCAGCAACTGTGATTGCCTGCAAGCTGAGTAGATGTAGACAGTCAATGACTTCTGGTATAAAAGATTCAGTTTTCTGTAAGTGTGTGACCACTCCTAGGCTGGCCTTGCTCTAGAGAAGGTCTCCACACTCAGGAGTTTATAGGCAGCCCAGATTTTCTTTGTTATACAACAAAATCAAGAAGAGAATTTGAATTTGGAAGAACATATAAAAGGGTATCCTGTAGGTTGTAGTAGGATGAATAAGGGGTGACTATCATCAAACTATAGTAAATCATGTAAGAAAATTAGTGGATTAATAAATATTTTATTAAAACATTGAAAATGGAGTACATTAAAGAAATAGTTTACTATGGTGTTTGGTATGATTTCATGGATGCAAGGATGGTTGAGCAATAACTAACTAGTCATACAATAGAGTATGTGAATAGATCTAGGAACAGGAATGTGATAACCATCTCTATTGGTACCAAAATGGCATGCAAAAAAGTCAAACATCATTCATGATTAAATCCCTGAAGAAACTAGGAATAGAAAAGATATATCAAACGTTATCTAAATGGGATGAGGATAAAATTATTTTCTTTATAATTGGTACCAAGGCAAGGGTGCCCACTTTCTCCATTCTTAAAATCTATTTCTAGCTCTGTGAGAGAAAGACAGAAAAGGGATGCAAGCAGAAAAGGAAGAAGACAAATTACCTCTGTGTGCAGACAGTAGTGTCCTAAATGTGAATTGCCCTAAAATTCTAGGGAAAAAAAGTCTTATATACAATGTTCAGCAAAGTGGCAGGCTACAAAATCAATCTTCCAAGTTCAGTCACATTTCTGTGAGCCAACACTGAAAGTCCTAACAGAGAAACAAGGATAAGATCCATTTATAGCAGAATAAAAAAAAAAAAAAAGAAAATCTTGGAATAAACAGGAGAAACGAAGAAAGAGTTCCACAATGAAAACTTTATAAAACTAAAAAAAAAAATTTGAAAAAGCAATGGAAGACAGGAACACCTATTTTCACATATTAGTAGATTTAATATTGTGAAAATAGATAACAGAAAACAACTTCAAAATTCTATTAGAAACTTATCAAATATGATACAATACGAACTTTTCCTGAAATAGAAAATTCAATCTTAATATATACATGGTATTTAAAAGACCACACACCAACAAAAAATATCAAACACAGAAAGGACAATGTCAAAAGTATCAAAATATGTACTGAAATTATATTTCAGAACAAAATTATTATATTAAATAGCAAAAAAACAACTGGTGCATAATGTGAGAAAATAGTTACGTACTCCAGTAAAATAAACTTCAGGAGCCAGAGATAAACCTAAACAGATATAGCCATGCAATTTTTGATGAAAGTGTCACTAACACACATTGAAGAAGAGAGTTCCTTATCTATAAACTGTATTGAGATACCTGGATATTCTCATTCAGAAAAAAAAAAAAAACAATCTAGATCCATTCCTCTTATCCTGTACAAAATCAACTCAAATGAGTCAAAGTCAGAAGCTAAGACAGACAGCTAGTAACTCAAGACACACAAGGAGAAAAGATTCATGGTATACAAAGTGGCAAGGACTTTCTAAAATGATCTTCATTCTCAAGAAAAAGAATTGTGAAGATTTGCATGACCTTAGAAAGTGCATACTCAAAAAGGCAATAGTCAGTAAAGAGACATCTTACAGGATGAGGGAAAAATTTGGAGAACTATACATTTGTTGGTGAATTAATCACTACAAGATAAAAAGAAATAAAAATTTACCATAAAAATCATGCAATTAATAAAAGGAAAACTGAAAAAAAAGTCAGTACTCAAAAGAGAAATGACTAGCAATATAAGGAAAATATTTATGTTGTAGCCATCAAGTAAATGGAAATTAAACTTATTGAAATTCTAGCACATTGAAGTAAGTCATTAAGGCCAGTGTCAGGAGAAACAATGGTAACTAATGTTGTTGAGGATTTTGGAAAAAGGAAACTCAAAGCTAAAAGAATTATATTAGGATCCAGCTACACCATTTTCAGGTATGCATCCAAAGTCTCAAAGTCAGCATCCAACAGAGACACCTACAGACTGACATGTGTCACTGCATTGTTGATAACACCCACCATATAGAACCAACCTAGATGACCATCACATGTGGACATGGAAAATGTGGTGTGCATGATCAATGGAAGATGAGCAAGAGTCTGGTCAGGACTGGTTGGCAAGACTTTTTTATTTGTAATGAACAGCTATAGAGACATTGTCATCTGGTGAGTGGAATTCAGAACCTTTCACAGGAGATTTCATTATGTCCGAGGGCAGGGCAAGGAGGGATTCAGGAAGAGAGAGAACAGCTGCATGGGCATTCTGTGGAGCATGGCTTCCTCCTGCAACACTTGTCTGAAGTCTACCTCACCAGGTCAGGAACAGCTACCAGACTGTTGGCTACTGCCACAGCTGCTGCCTCCACTGCTGCCACAGCATCCACTGCTGCCACCACTGCTGCCACAGCATCCACTGCTGCCACCACTGCCACAGCATCCAGAGCTCTGGTGTCTATGGCGGAGAGATCTGCGGGGCCTGTGGTGGCTCAGGCAGCAGCCACCACCCCCAGAGCTGCAGCAGCCCCCAGAGCTGGAGCCACAGCCTCCCCCAGAGCTGGAACCACAGCAGCCCCCAGAACCCAGGCTACAGCAGGAAGACACAGGGGGACACTTGGGAGGACACTTGGGGGGACACTTGGGGGGACACTTTGGTGTCTGGCACTTGGGAGGGCACTTGGGGGCACACTTGGGAGGGGGCTGGCACTGCTGCTGGCTCTGTTGGCAGGACATCTTGGCTTGTGGGTGTTCAGAAGCTGCAAGAAAATCACACATGTCAGAATCACTCATGTCAAAACATCATTCATAGTCCTCTCCTTTGTAACATACTCATGCTGTCACAGTGTGTTCTTCATGAATTCAGAACCTCAGAAACCCATGCAAGTGAGACACTAATTGTCACCTGGTATCCAGCAGCACTGAACGAATATCTAGTGACACTGTAAAATTTCTTCTGTTTCTAGTCCTTATACATATGCCAGTACATTGATTGTTTAAGAGAAAAGTGATTATAAAAGGACAGAGTACTCATGGCTTGAAGCTGTCTTTAGTTCAAGGTCAGTATTCCAAAGCACCTTCTATGTCACTGAGGGAGTAAGCTGAGGCCCTTAAGAAAAATTTGTGAACCCTCTCAAGGCTGCCTTGGCACACTAGGGCCTGTTGTGAGTTCAGAGTTCAGAGGTGTCCAAATCATCACCTGCTCAGGCTAAGGGTGACGAGGTCAGTGTCAGCCTGGTGGTGTCCTGTTCATCAAAGAGGTCTGTGAACAGATCTCAGAACCAGGACTCTCCAGTTTCCCAAGTCAAAGTGACAGCCTATTGCCCTTTCCTTACCGGAAGTCTTCTTAGGAAATGAAGGCAAGCATTTTCTTCACAGGCCACTTCCCCCTGAAACCTGCCCAAATGAACACAGTTCTCTGTGCTTAGTGTCCTGTCCTGAGGGTTCCTGTACACTGGAGGTACATTGTTCTCTCCAGAATTTCCCAAGCATTGCAATGTCTCTGGAACTGTAACTTGTATGTTTCGATGTCGCCATTGTCTCACCCCTCACTCTTCACCACATTTAATGAACTACCAATTTGTCCCCTAGGTTGAGAGTCCCTTCCCAGTTCCCTCTCCAACTTTGGACTGGAAACCTCTCTCAAAAGTCTCTGCTCTTGCCTCCCATGCACACTTACCAAGATGATAGGCAGTCACGATCTGTGTGTGTCTCAGGAGGTGAGTAGATGGAGGTGCCCGGTGCCTTGGCTCTTTTATTCTGATCCTGGGCTCTGCCTCAGCTGTCAGACAGTGTCTGGACAGGGTAGGCTCTGCCTCCTGACACCACATGGTCATGTGACAGGTGATGACCAGATGTTCCTCACCAACCTTCCTCCATGAGGCCAGGCATGCTACACCTATCTTACACCATGGCTTAGGCATGAAGGGAGGAAGTGGATTCCTGGGTCCTTAACCCTGGCATATCTGCAGAGTACCTGAGTGGGAACCAGTCACTTTTCCATCTTTTTTCTTTGCTATTTCTTCTTAATGTAATATGTGAAGCATATAGACCATATCAAGGTAGTATAATTTGAAGTTTCTTCCCTCTCTGCACTATCCCAACGCTTCCTGTGTTAGTCCAGCTTAAACATCTACACCAGGAAAATCCTACAGAATACATCCTGGACAGCACCACATTTGTTGAGGTGCAGTTCTGAACGTCTGTTTATCCTGTATCATTTCTCATTTTAACTAAGGCAGTACAATATTGAGGATAATGCAAACTGTTATGAAAACAAATGAAGCATCAAATGATTATGTAGACTGTTCACAATAGACACATGCAAACTTCTAAATACAAGAACATAGCAAGTGAGAGCTGGCTCATCAGTGAAGAATGCATACTGCTCTTGTAGAGGATCTGAGTTTGGTTCCTAGGATCTAAGTGGGGCAGCTCACAACCACCTGTAACTCCAGCTTCAGGGCATCTAACACCCTCTTCTTACCTCCAAGCTACATGCAGTTATGTACACATGCACACAGAGACACACACAGAGAGATAAACAAGACAAAGACATACACAGACAGACAGACACACAATTTAAAATAAAAATATCATATTTATAAATAGCAATTTGAAAGTAGATAAAGAGGTTCGATAAATAATATTAATGAAAAGAAAGCCCAATATTGGTCAAATTTATATGCATTAATAATTACAGAGGTGATTGTGTCCAGAGAGTGTGAACATCCTTATTTTATTGTTTCTTCACATTTGTCTCAGTACATATTTTTATATCTTGTATTTCATGAATTTACATGTAATACTCATTTAGGAATATACTAACTTTTCTTTACTATTTCAATATTGCTGGATACTCTGTAGAAGCCAGCACATCTCTGTCATGAAAACTGAGGTCAGATGGCACATTAGTAAGAAGAAAATCAGGAAAAAGTTTCACATGACATTGAGGGAATGATGTTGTTCACCTATAAGAAATAAAGCATAGAGTCAGTCTATTTCTGTATATGACAAAGTGCTGATGGGCCATATCCCTGACTGAAGAAGACAGTTTATTTAAAAAAGAATCACTCCTTAGTAATTCAGAAGAATGTGTTTCTGTGGTCATTAGATCTCTGTTCTCTCGGTGTGCCTGATTTTCATTTATATTCTACATGTCCATAGGCTATATATAAACATATTATTTCGAACTTTTTTCTTTGAAGATTTAGTAGAAACAGCTGTGATTGATCAAGAAGGAAATGATTGTAAAGAGTTGTGATTTAAGATTACACTAAATCAGAAAAAAAAAGTCAGTGAGAAGAGGCAAAGAAATATACAAACCAAATTGACAAAAATCTCTTCTCTTTAAATGCTGGTGGGCTCTGGACTTTCTAAATCTTGGGAATATTATGAGATTGGGACACAGGAGCATGGTGAGCACAAAGAAAATATGGTAGAAAAACATGGGTACTTATAAACGTATAAAGAGTCCAGTATAGAGAGATGTGTACCTGTCTGTCTTCTGTCACTTATTTTCATCTATCATCTGTCTCCAAGTCTTCTTCAAAATACATCTAATATTTAACATTCCCATTGATCTTCCATTTACTATGTTGCAGCATAAGACCCATAGAAGACCGCAACACTCCCAATGATAAGTACTCCAAATCCATTTGCAAACACTTACTCAGAACTGTATAACACTTAACAGAAGTAGAAACTCTTATGACACACAGCCTTTTGTGCTACTTTAACTGAAACATTTCCCACCCGCTCTCAAATTGGTTCTTAAATGAATGACACTATTTTATTTTCTTTGGTTATGATTTTCTCTAAATCATATGTTACAAACTTTAGCTGCTATGATAATGCAGCTGAGGTCCACATTATTTTACTTTTAATCCATGATGTTTAATATAGTTATGAGGAATTCCTTAAAAACCTTTCTTAGGATTTGTGCTTTTCTTCAGTAGTTGAGCACAGTCATCCTGTAGCTATTTGGTGATGCCTAAGCCTTTCACTGGAATCTTAAATGATATGTAGGCTAAGAAATAGATACTCCTAAGGACTTTGCTCACCCCAGTGGAACCTGAACTCTGAGGCAGACTGAGGTAAGTGTGTCCACGTGACCTTGAGAAATCTTTCACTGTCTCACAGGCTTTGATTTTAGTCTCCTTCTCAGGTATTCCAAAAGGTTTAGCAACAGGGTGAGGTCAGAACCTGATCCCTGGTTTCCACAATGGTAGTTATGAATGGCTCAGCTTAGGACTTCTAGGATGATGTGGGTGTGATGTCAGCTTCTCCATACTTCTGCCCCTCTGCAGGGCAACACCCAGGTCGTCAGCTGACCTCTTGTACACAGAGAGGTGTGCAAGAGTAGCATGCTACCTAGTAGAAGAAAAGGGTCAGCCTAAAAATGTGTGAGCCCTGGAGATTGAGACCGCAAGGCAATATTAATTTTTTTGACTGTTGACATTCTGAGGGTTTCGTTTGTCAGATATTTTTCTTTTATAAGGCCATATAAGAGAATATAAGAAAACACTGAAAATTCTAATCAGAAGTAATTCAAATAAAAAAAATGTTCTTTTCTCTGTACATCAGATGCTGAATCATGAGAATTCAATGTTGTTTTTTGAGATGTTCATTATTGTCCACCTGTTTAACAACTACACATGATGCATCAATTCTCTCAAAGTATAATGTCCACAAGTCACTTAATTTTTATTAACCTTTTAAAATAATACTATTTGATTATTGCTAGTGGTATAATTTTAATATATATATGGCATGTAGTAAAACATTCAAAACTCTCATTATTTTAAACTAATTTTTGAAGAATTCCTCAAAAACTGATAAAAACATATTACACAAATAATAATGCTTATTGCATCTCTCTCTGTCTCTCTCTCTCTCCTTATATTTGTGTATATATGTGTGTGTGTGTGTGTGTGTGTGTGTGTGTGTGTGTGTGTGTGTGTGTATGCTTTTGTGTGTAATCCAGGTGTCAAATGTTAAGTGGTTCCTTCAATATTCTAGCTTTATCAAGGGATAGGTCATGAAAACTAAAAATAAACAATGAAACGTCAAAGTAAACGTTCACCATGGGTAAAGCTGATTCAACACACATGGACAAAACTTCACAATCACCAGATGCAAAGTGTACTTTTTTCTCTGTAGCCATGAGAACCCTCTAAAAAATAGATCACATTTTGACCATAAAAATCGTAACAAATATGAAAACATTAAAATAATATTTCCTTATCAGACCAGAAATCAATAGTAATGAAAAAATAAGAAGCCCTATAAATAGAATTGAGACTAAACAATAAGCTCTCAATGACTGATGTATCATGGAATAAATCAGGGAGGAAATTTGTTAAATTTCTAAAAACAAATATGTATACAATAAAGGTAATGCCGGGGGGTGTTGGTGCACGCCTTTAATCCCAGCACTCGGGAGGCAGAGGCAGGTGGATCTTTGTGAGTTCGAGGCCAGCCTGGTCTACAGAGCGAGATCCAGGAAAAGGCGCAAAGCTACACAGAGAAACCCTGTCTCAAAAAAAACAAAAAAACAAACAAACAAAAATAAAGGTAATGTTTTTTCTTCACTTTCATTTTAATTGAGAATAATTTTTTCATAGAATATTTTCTGATCAGGTTCCCTCCTTCATATATTCCCAGATACTCCCACCTCCTCACCCTTCCAATTCTATGACTTCTTTCTCTCTCTCTTTAGAATGGAAATAGGCAAATAAAAAACAAACAAGCGAGAATAAAACAAAATAAAAAATAGGAAAAAAGGAAAAACATATGTTGAGACTAGTTCACTCATAAATCACAGCAACTGTGATTGCCTGCAAGCTGAGTAGATGTAGACAGTCAATGACTTCTGGTATAAAAGACTCAGTTTTCTGTAAGTGTGTGGCCACTCCTAGGCTGGCCTTGCTCTAGAGAAGATCTCCACACTCAGGAGATTATAGACAGCCCAGACTTTCTTTGTTATAAAACAAAACCAAAAAGAGAACTTGAATTTGGAAGAAGACATAAAAGGGTATCCTATAGGTTGTAGTAGGATGAATAGGGGGTGACTATCATCAAACTACATTAAATCATGTAAGAAAATTAGTGGATTAATATATACTTTATTAAAACATTGAAAATGGAGCACATTAAAGACAGTTTACCATGGTGGTTGGTATGATTTTATGGATGCAAGGATGGTTGAGCAATAACTAATTAGTCATGCAATAGAGTATGTGAATAGACCTAGGGACAGGAATGTGATAATCATCTCCATTGGTGCCAAAATGGCATGCAGAAAAGTCAAACATCATTCATGATTAAATCCGTGAAGAAAATAGGAGTAGAAAAAGATATATAAAACTTTGTCTAAATGGGGTGAGCATAAAATTATTTCCTTTATAATTGGAACTGAGACAAGGGTGTTAACTTTCTGCATTCTTAAAATCTTAGCTAGAGCACTGTGAGAGAAAGACAGAAAAGGAGGGCAAGCAGAAAAGGAAGAAGACAAATTACCTCTGGGTGAAGACAGTAGTATCCTATAGGTGAAATGCCCTAAAATTTACCAAAAAAAAAAAAAAAAATCTTAGAAACAATGTTCAGCAAAGTGGCAGGCTGCAAAATCAATCTTCCAAGTTCAGTCACATTTCTGTGAGCCAACACTGAAAGTCCTAACAGGGAAACAAGGATAAGATCCATTTATAGCAGAATAAAAAAAAAAAAAAAGAAAACTTTGGAATAAACAGGAGCAAGGAAGAAAGAGTTCCACAATAAAAACTTTATAAAACTAAAAAAAGAAATTTGAAAAAGCAATGGAAGACAGGAACACCTATTTTCACATATTAGTAGATTTAATATTGTGAAAATAGATAACAGAAAACAATCTCAAAATTTTAATAGAAACTTATCAAATACGATACAATACGAACTTTTACTGAAATAGAAAATTCAATCTTAATATGTACATGGTATTTAAAAGACCACACACCAACAAAAAGTATCAAAAATAGAAAGGACAATGTCAAAAGTATCAAAATATGTACTGAAATTATATTTCAGAACAAAATTATTATATTAAATAGCAAAAAAACTGGTGCATAATTCGAGAAAATGTTATGTACTCCAGTAAAATAAACTTCAGGACCCAGAGATAAACCTACACAGATACAGCCATGCAATTTTTGATGAAAGTGTCACTAACACACATTGAAGAAGAGAGTTCCTTATCTATAAACCGTATTGCGATAGCTGGATATTCTCATTAAAAAAAAAAAAAAAAAAAAAAAAAAAAAAAAAAAAAAAACTAGATGCATTCCTCTTATCCTGTACAAAATCAACTCAAATGAGTCAAAGTCAGAAGCTAAGACAGACAACTACTAAAGACAAACAAGGAGAAAAGATTCATGGTATACAAAGTGGCAAAGACTTTCTAAAATGATCTTCAGTCTCAGGAAAAAGAATTGTGAAGATTTGCATGACCTTAAAAAGTGCATACTCAAAAAGGCAAGAGTCAGTAAAGAGATGGCTTACAGGATGAGAGAAAAATTTGGAGAACTATACATTTGTTAGTGAATTAATCATTACAAGATAAAAAGAAATAAAAATTTACCATAAAAATCATGCAATTAATAAAAGGAAAACTGAAAAAAAAGTCAGTACTCAAAAGAGAAATGACTAGCAGTATAAGGAAAATATTTATGTTGTAGCCATCAAGTAAATGGAAATTAAATTTATTGAAATTCTAGCACATCGAAGTAAGTCATCAAGGCCAGTGTCAGGAGAAACAATGGTAATGTTTTTGAGGATTTTGGAAAAAGGAAACTCGAAGTTAAAAGGAGAATTATATTAGGATCCAGCTACACCATTTTCAGGTCTACATCCAAAGTCTCAAAGTCAGCATCCAACAGAGACCCCTACATACTGGTATGTGTCACTGCATTGCTGATAACAGCCCCCATGTAGAACCAACCTGGATAACCATCACATGCGGACATGGAAAATGTGGTGTGCATGATCAATGGAATTGTATTGAGTCCTAAGGAAAAGTTAAGTCATAAGCAGTTGAATATATGAATCCAGCCGTAACATCATGTTAAAATCATTACAAAATTTTTGTCCATTTGCTATCATTTATGGAGTCTAGATCAAAATACCTGTGCACATACATAAATGTTTAATATGCATTATACTCTTCTAAACTAAAATCTTCTATCAGTTCAATGGTACTTTCTATTACATGTAATTAATTTTATTGAAATTACATTCATCTGCTTTTTCATTTATGTTATAGGAGGGTTATTCTGTTTTATATGTTGTTCAAAGAGCAAGTGACAATATCAAAACAATATTAAGTATGTACACTACTCTGTGGCATACATCCCTAAATATTTTTGCAAGAATAACTGAACTTTACATTTAAATAATGAATTTGGTTGTGTTGATATTTTATATATATATATATATATATATATATGTATATATAACTGGGATTTAAATATTAATGTACATTTACAAATAATTTACATGTGTATATAAACTTAAAGCAGGAGGTGGACAGGGTGAATGAGAGCATCTGGGGGTCACTCCAGTGTGAAGTAACAATTGGACAATGATGACAAAGCCTGTTTCCTACAATGACAGAGGACAGCATTAGAGACCTGAAGGAGACCACAGTTCAATGAAACCACTGTCTTAGTTCTACTGCAGAGACTTGATTTGAAAAACAAATCCCAGAAGTATAGAGAGGCACATGCAAAGATGGCCACACATCTACTCTTAGATACTGGTCTCATCAGTGTCCAGAATTCAGCAGCCACCAGCAGAGGGGAAGAAATGAGACCATTGTCATTGGTCAGTTTCCACATTATTCCAATTCAGTTACAGCAGCAAAATAAAGTGATAGAAACAAAGTAAGTTCCTGCATTTCTAGGTCAAATTTTGTCTGAGAAAGAGTAACAAAAAATGAAGTTGAAGAGAAGAGACTGACTGATGTGCTGATTGTCCTTGTTTAATCAGAATATAGAATCTTCATTCTCCTAATGAATGTCTAATAGTGAACATTCACCTTCAACCCCCTTGACACTGGATTTGTCCTCAGGCTTTATTATTGTGAGGAGTGACTGCCATTTCTAACTTCTTACATCAGGTTACTATTAAAAAGATTACCTTAGTTTTTACAGATGCAGTGGAACAGTTGGTCCAAAGTCATAGGAAACATACATGTGTCTAGGAGGGGACAAGAGCTCTGAGTGCCACTCTCTGTTTGCAGGAGAAGATGACTAAGGGAGGGATGAGGATGGTGCTGAGAAGATGAGCAAGAGTCTGGTCAGGACTGGTTGGCAAGACTTTTTTATTTGTACCGAAGAGGTAAAGGGACATTGTCATCTGGTGAGTGGAATGCAGAACCTTTCACAGGAGATTTCAGTATCTCCGAGGGCAGGCCCAGGAGGGATTCAGGAAGAGAGAGAGCAGCTGCATGGGCATTCTGCTGAGCATGGCTTCCTCCTGCAACACTTGTCTGAAGTCTACCTCACCAGGTCAGCAACATCCACCAGACTGTTGGCTACTGCCACAGCTGCTGCCTCCACTGCTGCCACAGCATCCACTGCTGCTGCCACTGCTGCCACAGCATCCACTGCTGCCGCCACTGCTGCAGCATCCAGAGCTGTGACGATGGCGACGGAGAGATCTGCGGGGCCTGTGGTGGCTCAGGCAGCAGCCACCACCCCCAGAGCTGCAGCAGCCCCCAGAACTGGAGCCACAGCCTCCCCCAGAGCTGGAGCCACAGCAGCCCCCAGAACCCAGGCTACAGCAGGAAGACACAGGGGGACACTTGGGAGGACACTTGGGGGGACACTTGGGGGGACACTTTGGTGTCTGGCACTTGGGAGGGCACTTGGGGGCACACTTGGGAGGGGGCTGGCACTGCTGCTGGCTCTGCTGGCAGGACATCTTGGCCTGTGGGTGTTCAGAAGCTACAAGACAATCACACATGTCAGAATCACTCATGTCAAAACATCATTCATAGTCCTCTCCTTTGTAACATACTCATGCTGTCACAGTGTGTTCTTCATGAATTCAGAACCTCAGAAACCCATGCAAGTGAGACACTAATTGTCACCTGGTATCCCGCAGCACTGAACGAATATCTAGTGACATTAAAATTTATTCTGGTTCTAGTTCTCATACATATGGCAGTACATTGATTGCTTAAGAGAAAAGTGATTGTAAAGGGAAAGAGTATTCATGGCTTGAAGCTGTCTTTAGTTTAAGGTCAGTATTCCAAAGCACGTTCTATGTCACTGAGGGATTAAGCTGAGCCCCTGACAGAAAAATATGTAAACCCTCTCAAGGCTGCCGTGGAACTTTAGGGCCTGTTGTGAGTTCAGAGTTCAGAGGTATCCAAATCATCACCTGCTCAGGCTAAGGGTGGCAAGGTCAGTGTTAGCCTGGTGGTGTCCTATTCATCACAGAGGTGTGTGAACAGATCTCAGAACCAGGGCTCTCTACTTTCCCAAGTCAAAGTGATAGCCTGCTGCCCTTTTCTTACTGGATGTCTTCAGAAATGAGGGAATGCATTTTCTTCACAGCCCAACCATCCTCTGAAAACTATCCAGATGCACACAATTCTTTGTGCTCACTGTCCTGTCCTGAGGGTTCCTATGCACTGAAGTTACTTTAGTCTCTCCAGAGCCAGAGTCCCCCAAGCATTCCAATGTCTCTCAGAACTGTAGCTTGTGTGGGCCTATTTTGCCATTTCCTCACCCCTCACTCTTCACCACATTCAATGATCTATTAATATGACCCCTAGGTTGATAGTCCCTTCCCAGTCCCCTCTCCAGTTCTAGACTGGAAACCTCTCCCACAAAGTCTCTGCTCTTGCCTCCCATGCACACTTACCAAGATGATAGGCAGCTCACGATCTGTGTGTGTGTCAGGAGGTGAGTGGATGGAAGTGTCCTGTGCCTTGGCTCTTTTATTCTGTTCCCGGCCTCTGCCTCAGCCTGTCAGACAGTGTCTGGACAGGGGAAGCCCTGCCTCCTGACACCACATGGTCATGTGACAAGTGATGACCAGATGTTCCTCACCAACCTTCCTCCATGAGGCCAGGCATGCTGCATCTGTCTTAGACCATGGCTTAGGCATGAAGGGAGGAAGTGGATTCCTGGATCCTTAACCCTGGCATACCTGCAGAGTACCTGAATTGAACCAGTCACATTTCCATCTTTTTTCTTTTCTGTTCCTTCTTAATGTGACAAGTGCAGCTTTGAACAGGTAGAGTTCATACAACCTTCAAGTTTCTTGCATGTTGCTTCCATCCCTGCACTTTCCCAGCTGTGTCCATCTGGATGCAGTTTAGACATGAACATCAATAAAACCCTGTGTGATGTATGATTCATCACCAAGGTATATGTTGAGGTGTGGTTCTGAAAGCCTATTTATCCTCATTCATTTCTCATGTCCACTATTGCAGTGGAATGTTGAGGCTATTTAAGAATATTATGAAAATTAATGAATTTCAAAACAGAGTTAAAAAGAGGCTCACAGAAAAAGAGCATCATGTTACATACAGTTTACAAGAGACACATGTGCAAACTGCTAAATACAGGATCAGGATACTTCCATTAAAATATAGCAACTGAAAGATGGTTCATCATTGAAAAATGTGTACTGCATTTGTAGAGGATCTGAGTTTGATTCCTAGTACCTACAATTGGGCAGATCACAACCACTTGCAATCCCAGCTTCCAGACATCTAACACCCTCTTCTTACCTCCAAAGGTACGTGCAATCATGTACACACACACACACACACATAGACATACACATAAATATGCAATTTAAAATGTAAACAAAATATTTACAAACAATATTTGAAGGAAAGTGGAAATGTTCAGTACACATCGCCTGTATGAAAATGTCACAAGAAAAGCTTTTATTTTGTAACATTAATGTACAGTAATAATAATAATAAATGCAGTGCTGCCTTCCCGAGTGTAAATCTTCTCAATTTTGTTGTTTGAGTCTTTAAATTTGTCTTCATATGTGTGCTTATACTGGATGCTTTATTTTCATATGAATAGTGCTATACTAGTATTGTCTTTACTGTTTCAGTATTCCTAGATATTCCATAGGATATCTCTCTGTCATGGAAAGTGCCAGCTATTTCTGGTGACATTGCAGTTGGGGAAGAAGTAAGAAGAGAATGAAATACAAATAATGGTGTTCACAGATGAGAAATAGAGGAAAAGCATATACTATGAGATACTGTCAATCTATTCCTGCATGTGAAACAAAATAGCTAATTGGGCCGGGCGGTGGTGGCGCACGCCTTTAATCCCAGCACTCGGGAGGCAGAGCCAGGCGGATGGATCTCTGTGAGTTGGAGGCCAGCCTGGACTACCAAGTGAGTTCCAGGAGAGGTGCAAAGCTACACAGAGAAACTCTATCTCGAAAAACCAAAAAAAAAAAAAAATAGCTAATTGGGCCATATCCCCACCTGCAGGGCAGCAAGTGATTTTAAAAGAAGCAGTCTTTGTGCTAGTTAGTAGTATGGTCCCTTATGGTGTTTTGAGGCAACCATACTGTTACTTTGCCCTGGTCTCGCATTCCGTACTCTCTCCCTCCCCCTTTCCTAATTTGAGCTCACTCTTTTCCTATTTATCAGATCACTTGCACCTGCTATTTCCTTCTCTAGTGCTCCCCCATACTAGAACAGAGGTGTGTTGGCTTCTACAGAATATCTAGTAATACTGAAGCAGTAAAGGCAATACTAGTGGTCTCTTTTTACTTTCCTGGTTTCTGAAGTTACTCTAGGATATGTACTCAGATCTGAAGATTTAGAACTAAGAGCCTGTGACAAGAAAGAGGATGTGACTTTTGCTTCTTTGGATCTGAGTTACCACATTTGATATGATCTTTCCTATTTTCATTCATTTACATGTAAAGTTCATTTCATTTTCTTTTCAGCTGAATGCACTTCTAAAATGTGTGTACGTATCATACTTTTATTATTCATTAGTCCATTGAAGGGCTTTTCAGTTGTTTCTATTTCCCACTTTTTTTTTTTTTAACTAGAGCAGCAATGAACATGACTGAGCAACTATCTGTAGAGTAGGGTGTGGAGGAGAAAGCTTTCTTTTGAGTTGTTGGTCAGAGTTGTCTGTTGTTGGTTGATTTTTTTATTCTTTGGCTCTTTGGGAGCCCACCACTCAGCTCCCAGATAAATATACAGAGGCGTATTCTTTCTTATGAATGCCCAGTCTTAGCTTGGTATGGTGATATTTTATTTGTGATGAAATGTGATTTTATTTGTATGTTAATAAATAAAGTTGTCTGGGGATCAGAGCTAAAAGCAAGCTATTTAGCAGAAGTCTGGCATTGGTGGCACACGCCTTTAATCCAATCACATGGCAGGCAGAGTCTCTGTGTGGTCAAGGACACAGCCAAGCAGTGACCCAAACCTTTAATCCCAGTACCAACCATAGAGACCTGGAAGTCTGTATAGACAGGCAGTGACGATGAAGTCATGTGGTTGGGTTTAGAGCAAATGAGAAGGCAGAACAGAAAGGCAATAAAAAGACAGGACACAGGAAGAAGGGTGCTCTCTCAGGGGAAGGACGGCAGCAAGTGGTAAGCTAAAGGCTATTCACTAGTGCTCTGATCTCTTGAGCTTTTAACACTGTGTTTGGCACTGTGTTTCTTATTTAATAAGACCATTTAGAATTTTGACTACAGCTTGGCTTATTTCTAGCCAGGTTTTCTTAACTTAGATGGTCTTGTCTATCTTTTGCCTCTGGGCTTTTATCTTTCTCTATTTCTGTATACCTTTCTTTACATCTTTCTCCATGGCTTGCTGTGTAGCTGGGTGGCTGGCCCCTGAGTCCTCCTCCCTCTTTTTCTAGTTCCTTGATCCTTCTCTCCCCAGATTTCTCCTCCTATTTATTCTCTCTGCCTGTCAGCCCTTCCTATCCTTTTTCCTGCCTCGCTATTAGCCATTCAGCTCTTTATTAGACCATCAGGTGTTTCAAAGAGGCAAAGTAACACAGCCTCACAGTTAAACAAATGCAACATGAAAGAATGCAACACATCATTGTATCATTAAACAAATGCTCCACGGCATAAATGTAACACATTTTAAAATAACATTCTACAACAGTTGTCCAAGAGACTCCCAAAACATTCCAGACTGTCTGTGTTGCTCCTGGTTGTCTCCCAGAAGTGGAAGTTAAGCCCCCTTTGCTGAAGACACCATGCACTTCAGACAATGGGTCCAGAGGACCATGAGCTAGAAATTTTGGGTGAAGGTGCCATGCAAGCTTCCAAAGGAGGGAAGCCACTAACAGTCCTATCCAGCCATGATGCCTATGATACACAACAGCAACAAGCATGACATGATATCCATTAGGATGCAGCACTAGCGTACATATCTTGGTAGTAACCAACAATTCTCTAACTGGACTTAAGACCTGATAGACAAGGGGGAAATCATATCTGTTACTGGAAACCTAGTGGACTACCCTGACTAGTGAAGTCATGGATCTTGGAGGAGGAGATTCTACAACCAATACTTTATCAAACCAGCACTATCCCTAATTGCATTCTAAATATTTATCCTTATAGCCACAGATAAATGTAGTTTTTACTCCTCATCAAAGGAATTTCTGTCTGTAACAGATGGAAACCATTACAGAAAACCACAACTAATCAAAATGCAGAGTTGTGGAGCCCAGACCCAACTGATACATCCACAATACTACTCCCACCCCTTAAGGCTCAGGGATCATTATGGAAGAGGGGACAGGAAGATTTAAGATCCAGAGGAACAGTGTGCTTGTCATGAAGTTATGTCTCCTAGGACTGTCAAAAGCTAACTCAAAAAGTCTCACCAACATGACTATTTAAGCATGAGCAATCAAGAACAACTGTACATATGCTTACATGGATTGGGA